TCCCATTCTTCTGGGATAATCCCCCAGTCACTAAATCCTGTTGCGGGGACTCTCTCCTTCCCCAGACACTGAGCCCCCCCCCCCCCCCCCCCCCCCCCGCCCCTGCTTGATGCAGGGAGTTCTGCAGTGTCACTCCTGGCATTCAGGGAAGAAGGTGCTGAAAACAGCCAGTTTCTCTTGTCATCACTTCCTTCTATAAACTGCTACCTGGGCTTTGGAACTGGGGTGGGGGGGTGGCCTGCAAAACATGCTTTGCTGAAAAGATTCTGTTATCAGCATTTTTTGCAGAAACACACAAAGAATATAGAATAGCTTAAGCACTCCCCATTTGGTGGGAGGGGTTCCCAAAAGTCAATATAATTTCCTCAAGAAGCCCTTTACTTCACAGACAGTGTACAAGCAACTTTAATGGAGCCAACATCAGAATGGACAGAGATTCTGAATTAGTGGACTCACCTAATGAAGATTTCATCATAAAGGGCTCCAGCTTGTAGCCTGGCCCTTGGCTGGCCCCAGAATGGCCTCGGATGGCCCTCATACTCTGGGCCTTCTCCTTTACCAGAATTTTCCTTTCCTTTCAAAGGCAGAGTTGAGTCCAGAAATGTGTCAGAGGCCTGTGCTGTACCTCCGTGCGGGGCTGCTGGGTGGAGGAGGTGGGTGGGAGGCCCCAGAACTGGCTGCAGAAGGGTAAGGAGGCTCAGCCAAGGGAGGGCATGGGGGGATGTGCTCACCAGCTCTGGCCTGGCTTCTCTGCCCCTCTCTCCCCCTCCGAGAGAGGGTCCTTTAAAGTGCTCTTTACTGGAGTTTTGTCCACTGGGGCCCTTCCTCTTCTTTACACTGTTGTTTTCCCCTCTGTTCTGCCCCTGAATCTTGTTGCTGAATATCTCCTTTCTTTCTCTCTCTGTCCCTTTCCAATTCCTGCCTCCCCTCCTGGCCTGAAAGCTCCCGGGGTTCAGGACCCTCATTGTGTTTATCTCTGGCATCCCCTTTCCACCATCTTATATATTTTATGTCATGACCAGAGTCTGGGAGGGGCGTTTGTGGCTGGACCTGTCAGCCTCCCTTTTCCTGACCACCCCAGCCATCGCCCACTGGTGTCTGCTATTGAAACAAAACAGGACAGGAAAACCTTTTTGAGCCATTGACATTTCCTGATTGGGTGGCAGGGCTCTTTCTGTGTCTGGACTTGAGTATTTCTGAAGCTTTGATGAGTGGAAGCAGAGATAAAATAAACAGAATGTCTCAAACTGCCAGAAATGTGGCCTGGGGGCGGCCTCCTTCTTGGTTCCGGAAGGGATCTGTGGGTCATGCATCTGGACCTCATCATCCTTGGGGGAGCCCCAGATGTTGGCAAGATCATTCAAAAGCAAATAACTCAGACAGGGATACTAAGGATTCTGTTTACAGAAAAATTAAAATATTGCCAAAGCCGTACAGTCAAACAACTACAAGTTGGCTGTTGATGTGAACAAATATTTTCAACCAGAGATTTATTTCACATACTGGCCCTCGCCCCCTGCCTACCTCTACTCCGCGCACACACATACCCCCCACCCACCCCTGCCGCTGTAAGGCAGTGTTGAGTTCTGGAGGGCACCACTGGCTGTCCCCTTACCTGAGGCCCTGGGCTGGCCCCAGAATGGCCTTGGGTGGCCCTAACCCCCTGGGTTTTCTCCTTTCCCAGAACTTTCCTTTCAGAGGTAGATTTAAGTCTAGAATTGTGTTGGAGGCCTCTGCTATGCCTCCATGCTGGGCCGCTGCTCTGCTCCCAGTCCCAATAGTGGGGATACCCAGCCCCTGGTTTTGGTGTGAGGTTTCCCAAGACCCTCACATCCCTGATGGCTGCTCCTGTGTCCCTCTCCCTGAACGGAGCTTCCTTGACAGATTCGTGTCTCCACCGGTGCCCCAACCCCAGTTCATCAGTCCCTTTCATTTTACCTTCCTTTTCACCAAGGAAAACCGCTCCCCTCCATCTCACAATGGAGGGATCCTAAGCACCAGCTCTTCTTTCTGACTTAGGAAAGAGTATATCTGACTTTCTGTGGTGCTGTGGGGGCTTCCCTTTTGAGAAAGGCCATAGTCTGTGGTGCACTAGGGAGGAAGGGCTGTTCTTCCGCTGGGCTGCAGGCTGGAGTTATACGTTGTTGAGGTTGTCATGACAATTTGTAACCTGCTCATTGATTTATTGTCATTTCTTGAGGCCCTGTTCTGTGCAGGGCCAGGTGCTAGCCACTGGGGGCTGGAGACAAATAACTTGCTGGTTCTGCCCTTGAGGAGCTTATGGCCTGGGGGGTGGGTGGGCAGGTGACACTGGGAGGCATAGAATTACAAACACCTGCCCCTTGTCATCTCCATCTCTCTCAGACCCATTCCTGCTTGGTAAACGGGTCTTCTTATAGCAGAAAAAAAAAAACCCAAAAACCCTGTGGGTGCGCCCGCCTGCATCGTATAGGACCCTGCGCACCTCAACTCCTCAACTTTGATGGAGAGCTCTGTCCTCCTTAGGATGCAGTAGCCCCTGGACATCTGGCTGTTACTGTCCAGTACTTATGAGACTTGCCCCCTGGGCCTCTTCTCTTTTAGACTTCAGAGAAAAACAAACACAAGCCACTCGATTCTGGAGGCACTGGCTTAATTATGTCTTGGAAGGAAACGTTGTAGATGTTTCCCTTCAGTTCTTTGAGCAACACAAGTGAAGACCCATAAGCAGTAAGTGCCGGGGTGTGTGTGCAGGCCCACGAGAGCAGGCCACCACATTGCTACCCACTCCATGTTCAGGGACTCAAATTAGTAGCTGGAAACGAGCCACGGGAGTATTTATACCACAGAAATGGGCAAATTCTACATCAGGACTCCCCCCAGGCTGGGAGCCAGTTTCCGAGGTCTGTGTACCACAGAAAGTTGTGAAAGCAAATGAGAGGAGTGAGATCCAGGTGTCCTCCGGGAATGTGAACCCAGGGGCAGAACCAGGTCTGTCTTGTGTGAACTGAGTGCTTGGGACTTGGCACAGGCCTGGCACAGTGGATCCTGTGTGTTGAACAAGTGGATGAATGGTGTGTGGCTGCAGGCGTGGTGATAGGCTTGGTGATTGCAGAGTGTCAAACAGCACTTGTCAGTCTAGGGGTTAATTGGTCTGAGCCTCGGCTTCCCACTTGGAGATGAATGGCAGAACACTTACCATGGCCCTCCACCTGTGGCCCAGGCCCAGAGCTGTGGCCCACTGCCCACCAAGTCCACACCTGGGCAGTGCTTACCTGGTGAACACCCTTCAGGGTCACCCAGACCCCCTCATCCCACCCATTCTCTCCAGTGTTTTCCTGTGGCATCACACCCCTGACCTGCCTGCTGTGGAAGGAAGGGAGAATACCAGAAGGAGGCCTGGATCTTGTTACAAGCCACCAGCTCCAATTCAGGAGTCCAGATGGCGGGAGGGCGTGCAGGCCTGGAGTGGTCATCTTTCCTCGCAGGAAAGGAAGGTCGAGACCAAAGTCTTCCCACTGTCTCTCCTCACTGGGGCCAGTAATTTGGGTGAAGGCGGAGATGGGGGCACCCTGTGAAAAGTACTCTGAGAGGCCTTCAGGTGGTGTGGGAGAGTCTCCGGTGCTTCACAGCCTGAGCATAGACCTCCCCTCAAGCCTCTACCTGATTCCCCAGCAGTGGCGGAAGCAAGAAACAGCATCCAATCTGGACCAGGGAAAATAGGCCGAGGCTGGGGGTGGAAGAAAAGCAGCCTGGGCTCTGGGGGCAGTAGCAGGAAAGGCGAGGCTCGCAGTGAACAATGTTGGGTAGCACTACAGGCGGGGTGGGAGGTGAAAGTAGGGGGACCAGGAGGGCCAGATAGCCGACTCCCTCTCCCAGGGCCTGGGCTCATCCCAGCACCCTCAGGAGCTGTCAAGGGGCTGAGGAACCTGCTAGAGACACACTAATGAGAAATATGCCATCTGGGGGGGGAGAGGGAAGGAAAGAAATGTGCCATCTTTCCTCTTCATGCTCAAGCTTATAAACTTTGACAAGGGTAGAATTTGAGGGGTTAGGAGAGGCTGAAAATACCCTAGAGATTCAGTCACAAGAAAACCAAAGACCCCGGGAAGAACCTGTTCTGGGGCCTCCCCTCTCTCTGGTCTCCCTCCTGACTCAGGGCTTCTCATCCATCCTTCCTGGTGTCAGTCTCCCCACCTTCTTTCCCTTCCTAGTGGCTCGGGGGAGGCCCTGGCCCTCCCAGTGACATCTGACTGTGTAGTGTCGACACCGATGCCAGAAAGGTTTCCTTGTCCCTAATGAGATACATTTCGAGGACGTTCTGTGGTGGCCGGTGTTTCAGGGGCTGAGGCAGCTCCCATTTCCTACAGCAGGCAGGGTGGTAAGGTGGGAAGAGAACAAATTTTGGTGCCAGACCTGTGGGAGTTCAATCCTGGTTAAGTAGGAGGGAACACATCCAAGGTTGGGGATCAGTAAATGACAGAAATGTATCTGAAAAATTAAGTGGCAGATGCACCCTAGATTTTTCATTCAGGAAGGGGAGCAGGAGGATGGGGCACCGAGCAGTTCACGGATGGCCCTACTGAGCTCTGTGCCACCTGGGGAGACTTTCCTCCAAGCCACCTTCAGCTGAGTGAGAAGCTGATATCCTCGCCTACTTTGGGCTTCTAGTGACAAAACCCAACTCAAGCAAGCTTAAGTAGAAAAGGGGATGCACCGGGGATACTGATGTAGCCCAGAGAACCAAAGGAAGAGCTGACAACGTGAAGGCCCGCAAGACCCCAGAGCCCCCAGTTTCATGCTCTGGCTTCCTCGAGAGAACCGTGGCCATCACTTGACTCTGAGCTGGTGTCTTCTCAGCTTCATTACTCTCCAGAGAGGGCCGCTTGGTGACAGTTGAAAATCCCAGGAGGGTCTCTGATTGGTCCAGCAATCACTAGCCCACCTGTCAGGGCCCAGGCACAGGCCTCGGAGGCCTCTGGCCATGAGACTTCTGACGACGGGCTCTGCCTCTGTTTCAGAATCTCGGCGGAGGACCATCTTCGAATACCACCGTGTGGAACTGGACTCCAGCAAAGTCGCCAGCATGTCAGCCGTGGAATTCACTCCACTGCCAAGTAAGTGGGGGTCCTTCTCATTGACATAAGAGCAGTGTCTCACCGTTGTGGTAACAACCTGGCAGAGACTAAGCCCATAAACTGACTGAGCCCACCCCAGGTCTGTGGTGGGTGTAGCCACTCGACTTTTCTGGGCCTCCATTCTCACTCCTGACCTGCATGGAATATGCCAGTTAAGGTGAGGGCTGGGCCAGCAGTGGCATTGAGGACGCCCATGGCAGCTCTCACGTGTGCCTGCACATTCAGGCCTGGGCTGGTGCTCATGTGTGGCAGTGTTGCTCACACCTCACGGAAACTCAGGAGTGGTGTTCCCCTGAGAACCCTCAGACTGAGCCCACAGAAAGTCAAGCCTGGAACTAAATTGATGCATAAGTTTGTCATTGTATTTTCCTTAGAGGAGGGTGATGCTGGAGTCCACAGGCAGCAGGCAATGAAAGGACTTAGCCAGCAGACCCCCAAGAAGGCGGGCCTGGCCCTCTCCCCCTCTGCACCCCTCTCACCCACAATTGAACACACATGACGGCCTTGTCCCAGCTATTGTGGAAGATCCCGTAACATTGGGGTTTGGGTGTTGTTCAGGACAAGGCCAGGGCAGCTGGGGACAGTCAGGGAAGGAAGAAGCACCCCCATTCTTGTATTTTTACAAAGTTTTGTTTCCTCTCCTGACTCCTACCTCCCAGCTTCACTCTGAATCATGGCCTCTCCCTGCTGTCTGTAGTGTTTCTGTCTCTCATTCCCCCCTCCCTCTTCTCTGCAGATTCTGGGAACTACAGGTAGAGAAAGTAGAGGAAGAGGAGAAAGGTTCTAGAATTCTATGTGGAGTCTCTGGGTATTTCCCTTGGAAAAGGGGAAGGGCCCAGACACCCTGGGTCCTAGGGTTTGGACAACTAGTAGATCACAGCCCCACCCTTCCCCCATCACCCTCCATCTAAGTAGGAGAGACTTGGGGCCTGAGAACTCCAGGAATGGGAGAGCAAACCTCACGTCCTGGGCCTGGAACAAAGCTGCATGTCAGAGCAAGGACATCCAAGGGCAGGTTAGCTGCCTCAGCAGAGGAAGTAAAATGTCCTGGGGCTGCATTTCTGGGACACTGTCTGTACATTTAAGCCCTTCCCACCCCTCCAGTGAATTTGGCGAGCATTTAACAGCACAGGACATCTGAAATGCAGATGAGAAGTAAAGGTCAGTGGGTGTTTTGAATACTGCAAGGCTCCCAGGGGGTTTTGACCAGGGTCCATAAAGAGGCCTCCAGAATCACTGGGAATGGCCAGGCTGGGCTCCCACAAGGGTGCTGGAGTGGGTGCAGCTGGTGGAGCAGGGCACAACTTGAGACTGTGATTTGAGCCCCTGGGAAATAGTTAGCTTTGTCCTGAGAAATCTATGCACTCCCCACCCCCAGGCTTTCTCCCTTATCTTTGGTAGGGGAGGACTTAGCCGAGATTCTTCCCTCAGCTTAGGTGAGGTGAGGGTGGCCTAATTCCAAGCCATCACCTGCATGACTGGTCCCTCTTCTAGAACAGAGCCACAAAAGGTAGCTGGGGAGAGGGAGGGAGGTGGGGCAGGAGGGACCCCCAGTGGGACCTCAGGGATAAGAACTCAGGTTCTAGACTCAGTCAGACCTGAATTCAAACCCAGACCTGCTCTGTGACTCTCTCCAAGCCTCAGTTTCTTCCCGTGTAGAGTGGGGATAACAGGAGCATGTATCTATGGATCTATACACATTCAGCTGCCTACCACGTGCAGGGCTCTGACTAGGTGCTCTGGATAAACCGAGGAGCAAGACAACCAGAGAGCTCTCAATCTTGTGCCAGCCAGTCCTGCTTATGCCCTGCTGATGGCTTTCCAGCTATCCCTCAGGCCTGCAAAGCTCTGGCAGACCAAAGGGCATCCACCAGTCAGTCCCTCCCAAAGCCACTGGAGGTGCCACACCTGCAGGCTGGCCCCCAGCTGCCATCTTGCTGGGGTCCACGGAGGACATGTTGGCTTCCTCCCTCATGGAGGGTGGTGGAGCCCATGAAACTCACACAGTGAGGGGATGCGTGTGACATTTGCTGAAGGAGCCCTCACTCCTCTGAATTGCCGTCACCTCCTGCTGCCACCAGCATGTTGGTCTGCTCTCCGCATATGCAGTTATTCCGGGTGAGCGCCTGTCCTTCCCTGCCACCAATGCCAGGGCGCTGTGGCAGCCGCCTGCATCAGGGGTCATTTTGATTTGGTGCAGTGGGGAGTGTTTGATGGCAGGTGCCCAGCTCTTAAAATCCAGCCCCAGTAACCCCTGGTCCTATTTGCTCCTCTGCACTCCTCTGCCTGGCTGGTGCCGGGGGTGGGGTGGTCTCCAGCAGCCTATCCCCACCATCTGCTCTGCTTCCTGCCCTGCCCGGCAGGTCCCAGCTGTCACTCCTCTTTCCTCCCACCCTCTGTCTCTCCATCTCTAGCCAATGTCCCCTCCTCGGAGGCCTTCCTCAACCTCCCATGTAGGGAGAACCCACATCCCATTGTCCCTCTGCCGCCCTGTTCCCCTCACTTTTTCCACCGAGTCCCTAGCGTGGGATTCGTGTGTTGGCTTTCCCTGCTAGACTGCAGCTCCCGTGGGCAGAGCCCGCCGTTCCCCGTCTCCCTGCCCCTCCACAGACGCCGCAGTGCCCAGTCATATGGGAGCTCCAGAAGCATTTGTTGAAGCAAAGAATGAACGGGTGACTGAGTGAACAAATAGCTGACAGGTTTGTGGGTGGTGAACAAGACCATCATCAAGGACACGTGCTGTCCTGGGTCCTGAGGGGGCCTCACTGCCACAACTGTGGGTGCCGTCTCGGTCCGTCCTTACAGCTGGTTGGCCAGAGCATCCCTCCTAAACAAATGAAGTGCTGGGACACCCCAAGGTTTGCTAGCCTCCCAAGAGAGACTTAAGCCTAGTTGGGCAGGGGAGTCAGCACACCCACAGCAGGTGGCTCACTCCAAGGGGAAAGGGAGAGGGTGTACTCTCTGCTTGTGTATCCTCACAAACTCAGCACTCAGACTTCCCTGGGAAGGTGAGTGAGGAGGAGGAGCTGAGTGAAGAGGAGGAGGAGGTGAGGAGGAGGAGGATGAGGAAGAGGTGGGGAGGAGGCAGGAGCAGGATGCCAGTGGGAACGAGTACTCCCAGCTAGCACTGGAGAGGGTTCGAACCAGAACAGCTCAACAAATGCTTCTCAGAGAGTGTAGACAAGAGGGTATTATAAACATTAAACCTGCTAAGAAACTGGATCTCAAGAGCAGTGGGGACTGGATTTCAGTTGTTAAGAAGCAGTAATTTTGTGACACCATAGAGGAGTTAGCTAACCCTACAGTAGCAATGCTACTGCAACAGAAAAGCATCAAACCTGCATGATCCCTTTAAACTTACACCGTGTTGTATGTCAAATAAATTTCAATGTTAAAATCTCTTTTCGGGGCCTCCCCTGGTGGCACAGACAGTTGAGCGCAGCGCTGTGAAGCTGTCAGCAGCTTCTGCAGTGCCAGTTCGATCCCACGGCCGGCGAGCATCCCACATGGCGCGGCAGACCCTCCTGACTCGCCCGCTGCTCTCCTCAGCAGTGTATTTCGTCAGTCTACCTGTTCCGTTCCCCACTCTGTCTCTGGTGAATCTTCTCACCCTCCCGCGAATCTGGCCTATACCCCAGTTCTTGTATAAATAAATAAATAAATCATTTTTTAAAAAAAAAACAAAAAACCTTTTTTCAACCCTGTAGTTGCAGGCAACAAACAGTTCAGAAGTATAACTTCCCAAACTAGGTGAGATCTGTTGTACCCACTTTTAGTGCCCTGGAATTTTCTTTCTTAGACCTCATTACATTGATCATAATGTGGCTATTTAGTTGATCTGTTTAGTGTCTGTCTCCCTACAGGAGTGTATGATCCAAGAAAGCAGGGACCAGGTCTCACTGGTGAACCCCCAGCACCAGTCCAGGCCCTGACCCCCTAGAGATGGGGGGAGGAAGAAGGAGGGCACCGGGAGAGAGGAAGCAGGGCTGGACTCGTGAAGGTGGCATCAATGACTCAGGTCCCTGCTGGTCAGACGCCCTGCTTCTGAGAGGACCCAGCATCCGGGAAGTTGTGCCTTGCTGAGGGCCACTGTTGTCTTGCAGCCTGCCTGCAGCATCGGAGCTGTGATGCCTGCGTGTCCTCGGACCTGACCTTCAACTGCAGCTGGTGCCATGTCCTGCAGAGGTTTGTGCCTACACTGACCCCCTAGTCCCGCAGGCGGAGTATGGTGACGGGACACATGGCCTGCCCGGCCTCAGGCCTCCTTGTCACCATGAGATTGTCTCTGGCCACACTGACCCTTAGGACAAGTGTGTCACAGAAGTGCATTTCTCCCTGAGGCCTGTGACCAATCAAGGGGGCTGGATGCAGGGGCTCTGTGGTGATGATAGGCTTCTGGAAGGCCATTTGGGATTCCAGCTACTGCGGCCTCCTCACACCTGGCAAGGGTTGATTCATCCTAGGACAGTTTCTCTGAGAGTGGTCCAGAGCTGTGAGGATCACAGTTAGCCAGAGCTCAAGTCACTCATGCAGGGTCCTGGACCCACCCTGGGCTCCTCCCTCGGGGTCTGGGAGATAAACCCCGGAGCTGTATTTTAACACAGTGCTGGAAACAAGTATGAGATCTACTGGCTCAGAGACACAGGTCATCTGAAGAGCCATGGCTGTTGGGTGAGAGCCCTGTGACCCCAGCATACCACCTGGAGATCTTTCTCAGGCTGCCACAGAGTTTCCTGAAAACCCAGGATGTGGAAATTGCAGGCACCTATGGAAAGTTGGGGCAGGAAAGCTGCTTGGTTTGGGAGGCAAAGAAAACCCTGGATGAGATTCAGATTCAGGGAGAAAATTCTTAAATCCAACTCATCTCCTACTCTTTGTTCTGCAATCATTTCCTCACAAATTAAACTCAGAATTAGAGCTCTGTTCTTCTGTCCAACATAAATAAATGGCAGGGGGCAAAACAAAAAATGTCTCTAGAGACTTGGGCCCCCAGGAGCGTGGGAAGCCTTGAACTCCAGGAGCCTTTAAAGCGATTTTGAAGTCAGAGTCCCTGAGTTCTGTGAAGCTGTCCTGCATTTATCAGTATTTCCTTAGCTCCTTTCCAACATTCTGGCTCAGAGATAGTGGCCATTGCTTTTACCCTCCACCCACCTGGCACACAAGACACAGCTGGGCAGGAGGAGAGAGGCCCCCAGGCCTCCCAAGTGTTCTTCCACAAGCTGTGCTCTTAGTCACTCTCTTGGGCCCTCAGTTTGTTTTACTGTAAAATGGGCTGGGGTTCAAGGAGATGTAGGTGAGGAACACCCCAGTTTTCCTACTCCTTAAATACCAACAGCACCTTCAAGTGCCTTCACACAGAAGGCTCAGAGCCTCAGAGGCCGTGCGTGGCACAGAACCCAGGTTGTCCTGCCGAGGCCAGAGCTTGCATTGTGGACCCTCCTGCATTTTCAGTGTCTAGGTGTGGGGAGATGAGCCACACAACCTCGGAGAAGCCCTGGAATCCTGGGACTGGCTGCCACCACATGACTCCACAGCCAACAAGAGCCACGCCAAATGGAGCAGATGAAAGCAAGCCCTCGCCTTGACACACCCCATTAAAGGCATATGCCCAAACCCCGAAACTATGACAGTTTAATGAGAGTTGGCCTGCATGGGGGAGGGCCTTGCTGTGTTTATGTTAGCTACAGGGTGCAGAAGCACCCTCAGAGAGCTGCAAGGCCGAGATGGGACCTCCCGTCTCAGAGGCCCGCAGGCCTGGCTCCCCCCAGTGCAGGTTCCTCCTTCCTACCTCTCTGGAGCCTCAGCTCCAAGTGAGAACTGACATCAGGGCCTCAAAAAGCAGATGGCAGGTCAGGTGCAGTGGGCAGGCTACTATGGCCTCTCCCACCAATGGCTGCTTTAAATCACCACGTGGGGTCTCTCCCTCCCCCTGCTCTGTCTGCTGCATTCCTGGAGTGCTCCCCTCCCTGCATTGGAGACAGTTTCTGCTAGCACAGCAGGTATCTGCTTTTCATCCCTCATGGCCCCCTAATGGCCTACTCTGAAGTCTAAGGGTGACCTCAACACCAGGATTTGATCCAGGAAATGGGGGTCAGAATCCTTGCCTTAACAGTTGTGAGGGTTTGGCGAAAATGTGCAGGAGTAGCATGAGGGTGCTGGGGCAGTGCCTTGCATTCAGGAGATGCTCAATAAGTGACCATTTCTCATGCCCTCCTCCTCTGAATCTGGGTTGGCTGGCTCAGGTTTCAAAGGTGATGCTCTTAGACTTACACTGAAGGCTCCATCCTTGGAAGCATTAGTTCCCAGCTCCCAATGGCCCCCCTAATACTCCATCCCCCACATGTGGGCCCGGAGGACCTGAGTGGGGAGTGTGGATGGCTTGATTTGGCCATCGCTGCTGCAGGAGGAGCAGCCTGCAGCCTGAGGAGGCATCTGGAAAGGAAACACGGACAATCCCTGGAAAGCCTTGGTCCTCGGTCTACTGGGTCTTGGGCAGATGAAGGGCGATTGCTGGTGCAGACAGTTAACCAGCCACGGGTTCCTTCTCAGCTCTGGTGGCTTGGGATGTTATTCTTCCCAGACCGCTGTCCCCAGGCTGGAGGAGAGCTTGGTGGATTCTTGGCACCAAGAGTGATGAATGGAAAAGTGATCGTGGTGCTGCGGAAAACATTCTCTGGTCCATCCTGTGCCCCCACCCTTCCCCAGGGGAGCGCTTGGCAGCTTCCAGCCCGGCTGAGCTGCACAGTATCCTCTGGGCCCCTTGTCAGCAGTTTTTATTCTCTCCCAGCCTCTACCCTTTAATGATCATACAAGGGTTTTGGCTAATTTTGCTGATGTCCACCTTCAGCCCTACCACTCCTTGCCAATTTTAGGCCCCTCCACAAAGAAGGGGGGTTCTGTAGATGAGCCAGATTTTTCCAGATGAGAACATTTGTGTAAATTCCCTGGATTCTCAGCCATTTCACACAGCTGAGAGTCAAGGGACTTTAAAGGTCATAAGAGGTCATGCAGTCCGACTAACCCTACACGTATCCAGGCAGATGTGGCCTTAGTCCTGGGAGCTGGGTCAGGAGGAGTGTGGGAACCCCACAAACCCCTTCCGCTCTTTCTGGATAAGGAGTAGAGGGGGTAGGAGGGCCCGAGTCCTGATCCCACAGCCCCTGCCAGGGCGCCTAACCAGTGATCTTGGGGAGCTTGACCCCCTTGAACATTAGCTCCCTCTTCACTATCATTGGAGAGATGTTACTGCAGAGGGGGTCGTAGGGGGGAGGGTTCCTCTCTCAATTCCCTTACACATCTGACTCTCTGGTTCCCTGCAGATGCTCCAGTGGCTTTGATCGCTACCGCCAAGAGTGGCTGACCTACGGCTGTGCCCAGGAGGTGAGGCTTCAGGGAGCCAGCTTGTGGAAAGAGCTGGACTAATACCCGGGCCCTTCTCAGTAGCTCTTCTAAGGAAGAGATCTTGGTGAAGTCCCCCTCCACCTGGGATGGTCTCAGGCTGCTCAGAGGCAGTTAGACCAGCCGTGGTGGTTTACGGGCTCTGTGGGTCCACTTCTGGTGACTCAGCATTAAGAATCCTGGGTCCTTGCAAAGGAACATTGGGACCTCAGCTGCAGCTGGATCCTCTGGGAGTCTGTGTGTAGTAGCAGTCATTTTGGGATTGAGGAGGGTTATTCCTGCCACATTTAGAATGCCATATAGGTGCCTTCCCACTGCTGGAATTTTCTAGAAATTTCTTAACACAGGGTGGGAAGCTTCTTGTTCTCACACTTGTGCTAACACAGATCCTTTCATCCATACATCCCTTCCCCTACCCCCACCCCTTCCTCTCTCATCCCTTTTGCATCGCAAGCACATCACCACTGCCCTGCATTTGTTAATCTTTTTTTTTTTAAAGATTTATTTATTTATTTATACAAGCACTGGGTACAGTCAAAACCATGGGAGGGTGAGAGGATTCACCAGAGCCAGAGCGGGGAACAAAACAGGCAGAAGGACCGAAGTACACTGCTAGGAGAGGTCTGTCGCGCCATGTGGGACCCTCGCTGACAGTGGGGGATCGAGCCGGCACTGCAGAGGCTGCAGGCAGCTTCGCAGCCCAGCGCTCAACCGCTGCGCCGCCAAGGGAGGCCCTGCATTTGTTAATCTTAACATGACCTTAGGGGCTGGGAACCAGTGTCCCCACTGATCAGAGTGGGGAAACTGAGGCTCAGAGAAATCAAGTGATTTGACCTGCATCTCATGGCCAGTGAGATGGTGAAGGTGCCAGGCCCAGCACTTAAAGGTACCCCCCAGGCCCACTCTGTGCGTGCACCAACATCTCTTCATCTATAAGGCGAGGTGAGCTGTCTTTCTGGCCTTAAAAAAATCTCGTCCACAGACCCCATCTAATGCTGGCTCTTAGAGAAGGGTCTGGGTTTGCTCTATATATTTTTTTTCTTTTTTAATTTATTTATTTATTTATTTATTTTTATTTATAATATAAGCACTGGGTACAGTCAGAAGCGCGGGAGGGTGAGAGAATTCACCAGAGCCAGAGCGGGGAGCAGAGCAGGCAGAAGGACCGAAGTACACTGCTGAGGGGAGCAGCGGGCGGCAGGAGAGGTCTGCGCGCCATGTGGGACCCTCCTCCGGTGGCCGGGGAGCAGCTGGGGATGGAACCAGCGCTGCAGAGGCTGTGGGCAGCTTCGCAACCCAGCTCTCAACCGCTACGCCACTGGGGATGCCCTGCTCTGTATATTTAACACTGACATCTCAGTTCCTTCCTTGAGAACAAGTTGACAGAGAAACTGTCCTGCAAGATAAGACACTTAAAGAATGGAGCGGAAGGCCTAGGGACATTCAAGGCCCAGCTCTGGTGTGACCATGTTAGACCACACACTGGCACCTTAAGTTTTCTGGTGTCCCCTCCATCCTCCCGTTTGAGGGTTCTGCTGTGTGGCAAGCCTGCAGGCGAGGCCTCTGCTCAGGGCACCGCCTGGTCTCTCTTGCAGGCAGAGGGCAGGACGTGTGAGGACTTCCAGGATGAGGACCACTACTCGTCCTCCCCCGACAGCTCCTTTGGCCCCTCTGACGGAGACCTCACCACCACTTCCTCCTCCCTCTTCATTGACAGCCTCACCACAGAAGGTGAGGCCTGAGGTGTGGGTATGTGCCCCCCATAGGGAAGAGCCCTGAGTAGTCACCATCCCCAACAGGGATTATCTCCAAGGATAGGCTCTCCCTGTCCTGTCACAGATGAGGGGCCTGAGGCTCAGAACTCAGGTCACTTGCTGGTGAGAAGCAGAGTCAGGTTTAGAAAATTAATGTCCTTGCTCAATACCTGGTATTCCATATCATCCCTCACAGGACCTGCGGGGTCTTATCACCCTGTAGCAGGTACAAACTCAGTCCACGCACTAAGATGTGAGAGAAAGCAAAATCCTTTTTTATGACTTTGCTTCTGGCTCTCACCCCTGGGTCAGCTGAAGTGGTGAGGGCACTTGTGGGCTCTTTGCTGCCTCCCCTGAGCCAGATACTTGCGTAAAAAAGGCAAAATGGAAAGGAGGAGAGAAGAAAAAGCTGATATTTTAAGACATTATTTAGCAACTGTTCCATTTCATAACTACGGAGAAGTGCCTGTAGGACAAAGTAGGTTACTCAGGGTTGCATGCAGGCTAAGTGGTAGACTGTTCTTTCCATGGGTTCCCTGTCTTTCCAAATGTGGCCTAGCAGACTAGAACAGGACAACCAGAACAGGAACCCATGGGTCTGATTGAAGGGAACTTGTAGAGGAAAGTGAATGAATGATAGGAAAGGTGACATGGTGGGGCGGATCACTGCTGTGCAGGCTGCTGCTGTCATGGGGCATTAACACTGCTCAGTTCTCCTAACAATGCAGGGACCCCTTGCCCTCGGGGAGTCCAGGGTCACCTTCCTGTTAAAGGGAACCATTTGAAGGAAGAACTCCCTGGCCAGTCACTGCTCAGTTAACCCCATGTGCTTACTGAGGGCATGTCCTGAGCCCTGTGCTTGGGGGTTTACCATCTGGGGAGCCACAGAGCTGAGCGGGCCAGCAGACAGCTGTGGTGGGTGCGGAGAACCCAGCCCTCTGCATCTGGGGATGCGGCTCAACTCCTGCCACGTAATGATGCATGGTAGGCTCCCCCATACAGAGTCAGGAGCGCCCTGTTTGCCAGTTTTATTACCTGTGCATCTCCTGCCAGTCAGAAAGGTGTCTCACTTCTGTTTATGGCACACTAGTCCCCAACAGGGAAGATCAGAGAAAGTGGGGACATTATGGCTCCGTGTCTTCCCGGTCCTGGAGGAGGTGGCAAAGATGTTCAAGTTACTTCTATCTGTCTGTCTATGTATGTATGTATGTATGTATGTATGTATGTATCTACCTACCTACCTACCTATCCATCCATCCAACCATCCATCCATCCTTCTGTCCATCCATCCATCCATCTACCTACCTAGCCATCTATCTATCTGTCTATCTATATATATTATTTATTTATCCAAGCACTGGGTACAGTCAGAAGCAGGGGAAGGTGAGAGGATTCACCAGAGTCAGAGCGGGGAACAGAACAGGCAGAAGGACCGAAGTACACTGCTGAGGGGAGCAGCGGGCGGCAGGAGAGGTCTGTCACGCCATGTGGGACCCTCGCTGGCAGTCGGGGATCGAACCAGCACTGCAGAGGCTGCGGGCAGCTTCGCAGCCCAGTGCTCAACCGCTGCGCCACCAGGGGAGGCTCATACTCACATATATAAAATTAAGGCTGCCTTCCCCCACACCCAATTTTCAAGGCATCATGATGGGAGGACTTAGTCACCCTCCTGCCTGTACCATGACAGCTGCTCAGGGAGACTGGCAGCTATGGGAGCCAGATAAAGAGTACCCCACAAAACTTGTCTTGGGTCCAGGGAGACGCTGAAGACAAAGGGGATACAATGCTCCAGCCACTCTGCCAATGCTCTGGAGGGCAGGGAGCAGAGCAGATAGTGGGGACAGGCTTCTGGAGGGGGTGACCCCCCTGGCACCAGCCAGGCAGAGGAGCACAGAGGACCGGGGGTTATGGGAACTAGATTTTAAGAGCTGGGCACCTGCAATCAAATACTCACCACTGCACTGAACCAGAACGTCCCCTGAGTGCAGGCAGTGGCCACGGTGTTGGTGGCAGTGGTGGACTGGGCTCCAGTGGATCTTGAATGGTCTGGATTCTAAACAAGTTGATTTAAATCCAGTTAATTTGTCCACAGATGTTTAGAGTTACTCTGGATTACTTTCATTACTTCCACCTTGAGGTAACTAAGCAGACCCCTCGCCTTCTACCATCACACTGCTGTGTGACTTTGAGCAAGTCACCTCTCCGCTCTGTGCTAGGGAGGTTGACTAAGCTTTTCCAAAGTCTGCCTGGACCTAAAGAGCAACAGCCACCATGATTCCACTAACCACGCACCTTTTCTCCTTTCTCCCTGAAGATGACACCAAGGTGAACCTGTATGCGGGAGGGGAAGGTGAGTACGGAGCAACCTGCCTCTCTTGGTTCGACACACCCCAACGAGGTGCAGCAGACCCCTGGCCTCTGCTTTTGTTCCAAGTGGGGTGGGGGCAATAGGGAGCAACAGCAGCTTGAGCTCCCCAAACCTCCTTCTGGGTGGGAAGGCAGGGGGCATCTGGGCACAGGCCCCTAGAGTAAAGGAACATTCTGCATCCGCACATTTGTCATTTCAACTGGGAGTCTCCTCTAGTACCTCCCCTGGCCTCCCTGCTCCTGAACATTCTCGGCCCTGAAAGAAATGAAGGAGGAAGAAGGGGCTGCCTAGTGGTCTCGGGCTTCTCCTCCCCACGTGCCTCATAGCGAGAGGTGAGAGCAACTCGTCTCATACCAGGTTTCCTTTGATGCCCAAACTGTGTTGGCAGAGAGTACACAAAAGTTTCTCACCACAATTGTTGCAGCATACCGGAAGGTGGGGTACCCTGGCCCCAGGGTCCTCTGGGAGGATAGTGTCTCTGATGATATGAGGTGGCCCTACCTCTCCTGCCCTTTGCCTGAGCCAGTTCCCAACATAAAGGGGAGCTGGAAATGCCCTCTAACTCCAGAGCCTGGGAGGTTGTTATCTGGGGTCTCCCCCCAGAGACGGAGCCATACTCCTCTGTAGCAGGTATGAATGGGGTGTTCCCCTTGCTCTACACTATGAGTTCATCAGCCCAGGCCTGACCCTCAGATCATCGGGGCACTTCAGGCTGCATGCTGATGACAGGGCAGGGGAGCCCTGCTTGGGGCTTGTCATGTCAGCTCTCCCACCTGTGGACAGACAGAGGCACTAAGCAGGTACTGGGCTGGCTGCCCTGGGACATTTCTCTCCTGAACAATTTCTCTCTGGGATACTCTGCTTGCAGACAAGGGGAGGACAGAGACAAAGCTTTGGGATGCATGTGACTCCCTATTAAAACCCCTCACCCGCTGTTGGTCCCCATGTCCCCACTAGCATAGAAAAAGGAATCCATATTTCTGAGGTGTGCTGATCTCCTCTGCTGCGTTATCCCACATCCCTTTAGAGTAGGGAGAAGACGCAAATAGCAACCCTGCGTAATACCAGACAACCAGGCTTCATAGCGGTTGGCGCTGTGTCCTTAGCAAATCATTCCGCTCTGCATCTTTCCATTACCTCAGCCGTACAAGAAAGGAGGCACTGCAGGAGCTGCCAGCTTGTTGGTCTATGGAAATATTCAGTCTCCTCCTTGGGCTGTCCTTCAAACACTTGGGATGTTCTCAGCAAGTACCTGCTGGTTTTCAGTCTTAGTTCATTTCTTTTATTGGGCTCCTGGGTCTGCTTTTTTAAAGCGCTGGGAACACAATGATGAATAAGACACTGTCCCTGGCCTCCAGGAGGTCACAATCTAGTGATAGTGACAGGTGAAAACATGGTCATTTTGCTACCATAACAGCTAATATTTTCTCATCCGAGACACCAGTCATGGTCCTCAGAACTTGACCTGAATTAGCATGTCTTAAACTCCTTAGTAACCTCCTCAGGTAGTTATTGTTATCCTTGTTTCTACAGAAGTGGTAACTGAGACTCAGAGAGGTTAATTAATTTCCCCTAGGTCACACAGCTAGTAAGTGGTAGAACCTAGACTTGAACCCCAGTAGCTAGATACCAAATCCCCAAATCTTTCCCATCACATGCCCTTTGTGAATTCTTTAAAAGCACTATGTGGCATGCATATTAAAGAGAACTTTTATGGTCCTTCTTAGGTATTTGGGCAACTTTTAAGTGGTTTTGCAAAACCACCTGAACTGTGCTAAGAACATCAGCACCACACTCGTGTATTTGATAAGTAGACCAGAACAAACTGTCGGCTTTCATCTCTGGGACCTTGTCAGAACCAAGGAATCCACCACCCCACCTTCTCTCTCTCCTGCCCTAACTTAGGTCTCTCCACAGGGCTTCAAAACAACCTGTCCCCCAAGGCCAAGGGCCCCCCAGTGCACCTGGGCACCATTGTGGGCATCGTGCTGGCAGTCCTTCTTGTGGCGGTCATCATCCTGGCTGGAATCTACATCAACGGCCACCCCACCTCCAACGCTGCGCTCTTCCTCATCGAGGTCAGTGTAGAACGTGGCCACAGCGCCACGCTGCTTCTGAATTGTGTTTCCTGGCCCTCGGTGCTTCCCTCTCTGTCTCATCCCTCACCTGCCGCATGCCTGCCTCCTGTTCCCACCCGCTCTCCGTCTGGCATGTCTCACGCTGGCCGGCTCCCTTTCTCCCTAACCCCCAGGGCTCCGAACCTCAGAACCCCTCCAAAGCCCCATCCTGTTGAATAGTCCATCTGCTTTTCCTGCCCCATTTGTGAAATGAGAAGAGCCCCCAGAGGAAAGGAGGCTGCAGTGCCACACGGAACCTGCTTAGTGGCTGTGCAGCCAACGCCTGCTGACCAGCAGCACTCATGCAGAGCCATGACCGAACCATGGTCTCTGCCTCTTTGTCTGCCATGAGGATTTTTCAGATTTGAATTGACAAACCGTAACGTTAACGAGTAGCTTTCTCTGGAAGTTGTATTTGAGGATGCTATGGATTTGTATGCCTCAGAATCCAGAAGAGCCACCCTGGGGTGCAGAGTGGGAAGCAAGGCCAGCCGCCTCCACCCTGGGCCACAGCTCAGCGGCTCTTGGCCGCCTTCCACGCTTAGCTTCGCACTGGCTTTCCTCATGGCATGGCAGTGGCACCTCTGTGACCAGTCACCCCACATAGGTCATGACCCCTCAGGCCTCATTACCCAGAGTCCTCATTCGTTCCTTCTTCTTTACCTAGGTTCCCCTCCTGCCTTGTCTTGTCATTCTTGCCTTAGCCTGCCTGGAACCACCTGGCAGGTTCCCAGACCACAAGGGTGTTGGCAGGGCAGGAATCTACATTTTAATGAGCTCCCAGATGACTCTGATGAGGACCTGTCGGCATTTCTAGAACGTTCCAGAGCATTCCCTCTTTTACCCACTCCCCCACTTTCCACAATATCAGGGCTCCACTCGGTTGAGGCTGAGCTCCTCACCTTTGTGTCCTCACATGCCGAGGGCTAAAATGACCTTCCTCCAAACTCCTGGGCTCCCAGCAGGTTTCCCAGTCAGTGGTTGAAGGATCGTAGTAGGGGGTCTTCTGGGGAGGGGGCTCTGAACTTCACCACCTCACAGTCGTGCCCAGTGTCCTTATGAAAAAGCCAGCACTGTCCCTCAGTGGTGGCGGGTATGTGTGTGCGTGTGTGCGTGTGTGCGTGTGTGTGTGTGTGTGTGTGTGTGTGTTTAGCTGCTGACTTTGTGTCTGTGCCCCTACCCCACAGCGGAGACCTCACCACTGGCCTGCCATGAAGTTCCGCAACCACCCCAACCACTCCACCTACACAGAGGTTGAGCCCTCGGGCCACGAGAAGGAGGGCTTCGTGGAGGCCGAGCAGTGCTGAGAGCGCCAGGCCTCCCTCGGAGGGTAGGAAGGCCCATGACCCCCCAAAAGATGAGTCCAAGCAAAGTGGCCCCCTCGGGACATACCCTGGCTGGGAAGATGAGCAAGTAGCTGGTGTTGCCAGAACTATAGGGTGGCCAGCTCACCCTGATACTGAGGTGGGGACAGAAAAGCAACTATATTGAGTTTTTAAGGAACAATAACCTAATTTCATCCTGTTTTGGTGCCAGAGGTGCCCCCTTGTGAGTCTCTCGATGGTCCACTCTGTAGCTACCCCAGAGGTCCCCTCCCACCTGGAGTTGGCCAGATGCTCTGTTCCCGGCCACCCAGTGCCCTTGCTTATGGCACAAGAGGACTAAGCTCTAGATTGGGACAGCGCAGTCCAAACTCCATAGACTCAAGAGCTGGTGCTCATGGCTATGGATTCGGGGTATTTAGTCACAGCTTCTGGGCTCTGGAAGTCTGGAGAAGGAGTTTCCTCCATCTGTAACCACAGGCCTGACTGCATTCGCACTTACGCCAGCCACTGAGTGGCCTGTGTCACGAGAGGGAAGTCAAATGGGAGGAAAGAAAATTGCATTTTTAGGCTTTGCTTCCCCAACCTGCCGATTCTGCTAAGAACCAGTACTCTTCTGCATGGAACATGTGTGCTGCCCGCCACCCAGCCTCTGTGCCACCTGAGCCCACCTTGACCTGCCAGCTGTGCTGTGGGCAGCCTCACCTGCCCATGGGGTCTTTAACTGATGGCACACTAAGGGTCCCTTCTAGTCACTGGCCTGCCCTTCTGTCAGTGCCAGTGAGTACCTCCAAAGGCAGGGCTTACCTGATTCATGTTTTTACTCCCTCTGGCTGGATTCTATTGCCATTCAAGATCAACTGGGTGGCAAGAGGGCTTCTGGCTACCTGAGTTGGATTCCATTGAGAAGCAAAGCCGCCAGAGGGGGTCAGGTCGCAGGAAGCTGTCATGAGAAGGAGGCACTTGCTACACAAAACCTTGACCTGGGAAGTTGCTTCCTTTTCTCCAGATCTGCCAGAAGTTTTGGGGGGCAGATGACTTAGTCTCCCAATCTTCACCTGGCTTTAAAGGGACTCTGTGCCAGGGATGAGTTGGGCCTGTACCTGAAGATGATTTAAAATTAAAACCATAACTCACCCTCATTCAAAGTAAAAAAATAACAGCAACAAATAAATGTTAAATCATTCTCTGCATGGTCACGCCCTTTCGTGCATGTCACCAGGCTGCTGTGAAGGGGCACAGGCCCCCCGAGGTGACAGGAGGGGGTCAGGATTAACTGGACTCTCTCGTCGTTTATCCTCGGTGAGGATCTAATGACAATCAGGTGGACATATGGACCTCAGCTGTAAACACGTATCTCCATAAACCAGACTCGGAAGCACTGTGGGGAGGGTCAGAATTTAAAACCAAGAAAGGCAGCACAGTTTAGGCTCATTCAAGGTTCTGGCGTTCTGTCAGGAGCCCTCTTTGTGAGAGAAGATTCTCTGGGCTCCGGGCACTCCTGGCTAGTAGGAGGGGAACTTTTGCTCTGCAAAAGCATCTATGACTTTCATGTGTGTGAAATAGCCAGCGGGGCAGATCCGATGAGGCCAGCGCCGCCTTCTGTCCCCCTCTCAAATCCCAGCTCACTCCTCCCCAGGGGATCCCTGCCAACCATTCTGGATTCCCGCAGGAAAAGAACACCGAGGGTGCAGGGAGGGGAGGCAATGCAATGAGGCCTCTAAGGGTAAGCGCTGCAGGAGGAGGAAGAAAGTTTGAGATGCCTCAGGCAGCCAGCTGGCCAGAGCAAGACCAGCTGACCCCTGGAAGGCAGGGCTGAAGGCAGAGGAGTAGTTTGGCAACAGGTAGCCTAGTTTGTTTACAGCAAAAACAACTAAAGATCTGTCACTAAGAGGCGATTAAGAGCCTCTGGTTTTCTCCAGCCAAAACGTGTAGCCCAGGGCTCCCAGGACAGACAGGCTGCTTACAGAACAAATGCTGATTCCCAGGTCTCCTTAGGGTGGCTGACGAGACAAGCATTTCTTAGATAGAGCCAGAGTTTTATTTGAAGGTGTGCAGCAGGTTAGTTAGGTAGCTAAGGAGAGTGACCCACTTAGAGGGTTGAACAGCTGGAATGAGACAGAGGGTTCTTAGGCACAGCCCCCAAATTTGACTGAGGCAAAGTGGCACTTGACATAGTGGCACTTGACATCATGCGCGCCTCTCTGCCCTCTCTGCCCATGCGTGCCTCTCCAGTTACCTTCCCCATGTGGCATCTTTAGGTATCGACCGCTAGGAGGCGGGGGTGAGGGGGCTGCGTAGGAGCCCTGAAAGCTCATCCCTGTGACAGGAACTTATAGAACGGGGTTCTAGGAGTTGTCTGTGTTATACCAGGAAAATACTCTCAGGAAAGCTCTGTTTTCCTGGGCTTTGCCAAAGGAGTTGCCAAAACTCCTAAGAGAACCAAAATAAAATGAAAACGAGAACAGGAATGTGGCAGTCGAGGACGAGAGGGAACCCTGGGATCAATCTGTGAACACGGCCTCGTTCTCCTAGATCAGCCACTCTAGATTTACCCAGTGAGGACCCTGGGGTTTCTGATTCTAGAACCTGAGTGCATATATGAGCCCAGCCCTCAATCCCAGCACCTAGGAATGCCCTAGGTAAAGCAGTAGGGTTTCCAAGCTTGTCTGACCAGTCATCTCCCTCCTACCATAGTCAGGGTACCTGCTCACCCGCTCATCCCACCAGGCCTCTGACCTAGAGACCAGTTCAGATCTGGATTCTGAGGTTGAAAATGACCATTTGTCACTATTAGAAGATCTTTTTTTTTTTTTCTTAAAGATTTATTTATTTATACAAGCACTGGGTACAGTCAGGAGTGCAGGAGGGTGAGAGAATTCACCAGAGCCAGAGCGGGGAGCAGAGCAGGCAGACTGACGAAATACACTGCTGAGGGGAGCAGCGGGCGCGGCAGGAGAGGTCTGTGCGCCATGTGGGACCCTCGCTGGCAGCCGGGGAACAAACCGGCACTGCAGAGGCTGCGGGCAGCTTCACAGCCCATCGCGCAACTGCTGTGCCACTGGGGAGGCCTTTAGAAGCTCTTGATGGTCCTATGGAACATGCTTTTAAATTCACATGTCTTACCAGGGCTCCCCTTTGTAGTGTATCCTTGTGAGTATCTATGTTTAGGTACACATACATGTGCACATGCATTTGCATTTTATTGCTAGAAACAATGACTGAATCTGTAGTCTGGGTTAATTAAGACAGTGCCACAAGCTGCCTGCCAACGTCACTGTTTAAATAGCAGATTGTTTGCACTTGGTCTGTATGAACTGTATCTAATCTTCTCTGGGTCCTGGAACAGATTCTCTGTCTCTCTGCTTCTCTCTCTGTCTCCCCTACATAGCTCCCTCTTCCCCTCTTCCCACCCACACCCACAACAGAAACCCACCCAAACTTTAGCACAATTAAAAGGACCTGGGCACTAGGTTCCAAAGGCAATGTAGCCACGTATTTAATGTGAATTCTCTGCATGGAATCTCAGTGTTAATAATAAAAGAAGACATTCTTTTCTCACTTCTGCTGTGTGCAAAATACAGCACAAAAGATATTGAGCCAGTCTGCAGCTCGCCACACATACCTTAGTGCTGAGGACCTACATCTCAAAGGCCTCACCAAGGAGCCCAGAAACAGCCTCCACCAACCTGCCCAACCTTCTGCCCCAACTCCAGGAGAAATAGCCTAGAAGGAGACCCCAGCTATTTATTTGTCCTGGGTTTGCAAATCCCTGGAAGTAAACCTCATGGGTTTCTAATCTACCATCTACAGAGACGCATCGCTGTAAGCTGATGCTGCCCCGTTTCTGGATACTCTGCATTTAGGCCACTTTAGCAGCCTCATTGTGTTTTTAATACTTTGTTAATTTTGCTCACAAAACATGGTTAAGTGAACCAAAATAAAGAGAGGAAAAATGTGAACTCCTCACAGTCAGAATCAGCTATGCCAAATTTCAGGTTCCAAACAAGCCGGTATATAAATAAACATGCTGTGTTTGCCAGATAAAGAGGAATGTGTTGGAGAAGGCAATGTGGACTGGTACAAAAAGCGCTGAGCTTTGAGAAGGCAGGAGCTGTCACCCGAGCCTTGTCCCTAAGGATTTGGAGGTGAGGGTCAAGTTACCCAACTTCTCTGAGCTGCTGTAAAATAAGGCAGTGCGGGTGCTAATTGATCTAATTAGCAAACAGCCTCACCTGGTTTTTCCCAGTTCTGGCCGCTCAGCCCAAGTCATCCTTTCTCTCCATTATCTTGATAGGGCCACCAACTTGTCCTAGTTTGCCTGAGACTTTCCCAGTTCTGACACTGAAAATCATGTATCCCAGGAAGCCCCTTAATCATGGACACCCTGGCACAATTGGTTATCTGAAGAGATAAGGATAATAACATCAAGCATTTGTAGAGCCCATTAGATTCTTGGACCTTGCTTTTCAAAGTGGGGTGCCACAGGGGCAGTTAGCATCCTCTGGGAGTGAACTGGAAATGCAGAACTCAGGCCTGCCCACCCACCCCAGATCTCATGTCAGATTCTGCAATTGAGCAGTTCTCTAGGAGAGAAGCACGGTCTAAAAAACAATTTTACCGACATGCTATCAGTCTATTAGAGCGATATTATTCCCCCCACTTCCCATATGTGGAAATTGAAGCTCAGACAGTTGGTTTAGTTGTTTATTCATTTGATCCATTTTCATGAAGCACCTACTATGTACTAGGCACCATTGAGTGACTTACTAAAGGTCACACAGGTCAAAATCAGCCAAGACAATCCCCATACCCAGGTTATAGGATTCCTACCTGAAGCTGTTCTCTGTGTGCGGGAGCAGTGCCAGATTGCTTAGCCACAGTTAATAAGGAAACCAAATTATGACAGAGGCCTGTAGGTACAGAGCTTCAAAAAGATGCAGAGCAATGATTTCAAACACACTCTTGGCTCCTGAAACAGCTAATTTATTTACATGGCCCCCAAGAGCTTGAAAAGTGATCTCTGCTGCTTCTTCCTCCCTGCTCCTCCATTCCTGTGACCCTCCCATCGGCAGATTTGGAGGTTGTAGGGGAAATGGAGTTACTCAGGCTTTTTCCTCCCTTCCACTATTAACCTCTATGACCACCGCCTGTGGCCTTGTTTTCTCCTTGGTTTCATTGCCCACACGTGATATCATGTTGGTGCAAAAAGTGCTTGGGAGCATGGGCTTTGCACAACATCTGGGGTGCAGAGGTGTGAGCATGGGGCACACAGGCCTAGGATTATGGACACCTGGGCCAAGAAGCCGGCGAGCATGGGGCGTGTAAATAAGGACACCTGGGCTGAGAAGTGAGGCATAAGAGGGATGATTCAAGGGATTGAGTCCCTGCCTGCTGGTCTGCCTGAGTCCAGTCCCCGATTCAGCATTAAAGGCATGTCAGAGATAGCGGATGTACAAAGATTCTTTTTCCTTTGCCTGAATCAATAGTGAACCTGCCCACCTGGACTCGGTTCCCTTACAGAGGTGCTCTCCACAATACTTCAGAACCCCAAGGCCAGGCCTCTGTGCTATTTATCTTCTTGAATGGAAGACAATTGATTGCTTCACTTGCCACAATGGCACTGCAGAGGAGGGAAGTGGGAAGGGAAGGAAAAATCCTTATTTGAACTGTGAAAACTTAAAGAGAAAGTCTTCAGGGATGATTCTTCTGATGTTCATAAAACATTTTTACATTTGGTCCCTAGAGATAACTAAATCATGCCCACAGCTTTTTTTCAAAGCTAAAAGCACTGAAAAAAATATCTGAAATAGTCCAATAAAATTTCATTATATTTCCCCAATCTTGGGTTAAAAATGTCCCTTCCATTTTTTATCCTCTTCAAAATTTTTTATTCAGACTATCCGAAAGATAGAAGGCTCACCTTGTCTAACTAAGCTGAGGAAAGTCTGAAAATCCTTCAAAAAGTACAGCTCCCGCTGCTCCTCCAGGCCCCTCATTTTGGCTTCACAGAGTGGCTGCTGCAGTGAACCCCGAGCGCGGGGGTGGGTGCCTGATACTGACCCCTGGTCTTGACTCCCCGCTCCCAAGGAACATGAAGTCTTTCCAAGAGCCCTCCTCCAGGCCAAATGGGCAGCCCTCCCCAGGACCTCCTTCTCCCCTCTCCAGAGCTGCCTCAGCCCTCTGTTACCAGTGCTCCTCTCTCCCAAATCCTTTTGGCATCCGCACTTTCAGAGACAAGCA